CTATCACCCATAAACCGATGGCCAATCAAAAGTTTTAAATTGTTGTATTGAGATGTATCTATGTTGTTTCGTATATCATCATCCTCGCAGTTGGTTCAGATCCTTCCTTGGGCTGAATATCAGTATAATTCATCGTATCAAATAATTGCTGGTATGACTCCATATCAAGTGATGTATGGGTGCCCTCCTCCTAACTTGATCAGGAGTCCATCTAAGCATTTACCTGTTGATGTTGCTCAGTTATTGGCACAAAAGGATGATGTATTAGCTACTCTCAAGCTCAATCTGGCAAGGGCTTAGAACCGAATGATACAAATAATTGATCATAAACGTGTAAATGTGGAACTTCAAATCGGGGATATGATTTTTGTCAAGCTGCAACCATATAGGCAATCCACTTTGCATTCACATGGTCATCAAAAGTTGGGTCTTCGTTACTTTGGTCCTTTTCTGATGGTGGAACGGGCTGGTCTAGTAGCTTATCGATTGTTGTTATCACCTACTGCTCGTATTCATCTTGTTTTTCATGTTTCCTTGCTTAAGAAATGCATGGGTATTTCTTCTTGGTAGTATTTTCCACTGTCGTTAAACACAGTTGTTGAGGATTCCCAACCAATTCCATGTCGCATTATCAACTCGAGGAGAATTAAGCAATAAGGTCATTGGGTTGATCAAGTTCTGGTTCACTAGGCGCATTTACCTCGTTCTGACAGCACTTGGAAGTCTGCATCTTTTAAGCAACAACACTTTCCATCTTTTGACCTTGGGGTCAAGGTTAATCTTAATGGAGGGGGCATTGATACAGGATCAAAAAGCACAACAAAATATGATATTGAGAAGGGACACACGACATATGAATCTATGATAACATGGATGCAATAACAGAATTTGGCATGTTGAGGCGCAACACACGTGAAAAGCCCAAAACGTGAAAATTGCAAATGAACAAGGGGAAATAATAGTATATAATTTAAGGGTGGACATTTAGGGAGGGGTGTGGTGGTTTTGTGAAAATCTTGTTTTGCTTTTCTCTCTCTATTTGGGTCAATCTCAGAGCTTGGAGAACCTTCTTTCCCTTGTGTCTTCCTGCTACTTGTCAGTACATTTTTTATCCATATAATTGATCATGAGGAAGTAAATTTAAATCAATTTAATTCTTGTCATTGTCACCTTGCAAAGAATCATATCAGAATGTTTCCAACTTGAGGAGGTTGAGAAGTCTTTCCCAGGACCTTTTCCTTGAACCTTGTTTGAAAGGTCGCTGACGGATATGGCTCCAACAGATATGGCTCTTCCCACTTGCGCGCATGCCTTTTGTTATCCGTACGTTAATTAATTAGTATATTTTATCAACTAACTTCTAATCTTTTTTTCAAACAAATCTTTAGATTATATTCTATGAACTAACTTTTAATTTAAACAAATGCTTCAATTAAGATAAATTTATTTTAAAATGAAAATAATATTTTAACTAAAATTAAAATAACTACTTTTTTTTATAAATTTAAGAAAAAATTATCAACTAAAATAGAATAATCATTAATTAGTTAATAATTACATTCATAATTATGCAATTAACTATCCTTTTTGTTATTTGAGATTATGGTAAAACTCATTTATCCTAATTAATTACAATAGGAATAATTCAAGTTTCACTATGACAAGAAAATCTAAAATATATAATTAATCTTGGTTATAAATAATTCTGTATAATCTATTTATTTATCTATATTTATTGGATAATTGTTCTCTCCTTATTTTTCTTGTCTTAAAATTAAATTATTTATAATGCAACATAGATAGATCTACCAGCAACTTCAGGTCCCTTTATAGTTGTTATTTATGTTGTTTTCCCCGGAGGAAGCTAGAATATCGACACAGTATCTAACTCCATCACTTTTCAAGGAATAGGAATGTCCTCCTTTATTTTGTTTTCCCGAATAAGAGAATTTTTCAATTATTGATAGATCTATTATAGTTACTTTCTTTTTACCACCTGTCAATCATGTTAGTCCTATTGCAACTTTATTTCCACCTCCAATATAATTATTCTTGTAGGAGCGTGAAGGAAAAAAAATAGTTTGTAAATAAATACATTATTGTATATACTGTGATGTATATAATCTAACTATATGTACGTTAGTTTATGAAATTTTATTTGGTTCTTATGATAAATATTATAAATTTTATAATCAAATTAATAACCTATAAGAAAGATATTATTTTATTAATAAGTTAAGAATTGTAATAGACGTCTCATAATTGATTACCATAAAATTGTAATCATTTATATTAGTTCATCCTTCTTGAGCATGAAACCAAACGAGCTTTGTTATCAACTATGATCTCACTATAATCGATTAAAACAAGAAGAATTACTTATTTTACAAAATTGAGAAAGCCTTTGAAATTGATTAATAAAAGAGTTAATCACCTATACACTGCCAGTGTAAAGTTTTTTTATACTGGCAACCAATTATATCTTTTAATTGTGTCATGTCACTATAAATACATTTACTTTTAACAGTGACATGACACAATTAAAAAATATAATTGGCTGCCAGTGTAAAAAAACTTTACACTGCAGTATATAGGTGATTAACTCTTAATAAAATGCGGTAATCAATTAAAACAAGAACAACTTACTAGTATTTTGAAAACAAAACACCATGTAATCGATTACACATCTTTTGTAATCAATTAAAACAAAATAAATGGATTTTCCTATATAACAAAATTATATTGTGTAATTGATTACTAAGATATGGTAATAAATTACCCTTTTCAAAAACTTTACTTTTTGTTTTAGACTTTTCTCTTTTCAATCTCACTTTGTACTTGTTCCATTTTAATTAAGATATTCAATTGACCACTTATGATTAGTTACTTTTTAATCAAGGTAATAAGGTTTAAGTTGTTGAACCCCTTTCACTAACCTAATAACCTATTTAAGTCCAACAAGAAAACTTTACAAAGAGGAAAACATGACAAAGCCAAAACACTTATTAAAATCTTCAAAATTTGCTTCTTCATGCAATACTGTTACTAACAAATAAATTGAAGAAATAAAAGCTTATTTGGTACTCACAATGTATAGAAAGGGATGTTGTTTTCTTTCCATTAGGGGAAGAAAAAGTATATACCTCAAAGTATGTAGAGTCAACCAAAAATCATTTGCGATTGACACATGCTTCATTTCCTTACCTTTTGTTCCTTAATGTTGATAAGCAAAATTCTTGATCAAGTAAGAAGTGACCTTTTGGTTAAACACATTAAATGCACTAACGAGCACATCTTCACATAAAAAAGCAAGATGAAACAAGTCGACGAGTAAGACATAAGGATTTACAATAGTCATTTTCACTTGTTATTCATGTATAAAGAAGCATGGACAAGCTCAAAGTATCTCTCGGCCATGCCCCAAATTCACAGTCTCTAATTTCTCTTGACACGGTCGGAGTAGACGAGCTTCTTGATCTAGCAGTCTTTGCAGATCCGGAGAGATGGTCTCCTCATCACTGTCCAACTCAACCCATTCACCTTCGGATCCCGATCAGAGCGAACAATTACAGACATAGTTATTTTATTGGTTCTGTTTAGGTTTAGAATTATTAATGTTAATGAGGAAAGAGAGAAAAGAACAAAAAGAGAGTAATGTGTGAAAAATGCCTCTTTATTGATATGTATTAAAACTGTACAAAAACCCTTATTTACAATATATATATATATATATATATATATATATATAAAATATGTTGATTTACTTGACTTTCTAGTGTTTTTAAAAAAATCATGTAATGAAATCAAATAAAAATATTTAAACAAAACATATTATGAGAATTAAAATAAAAAGTGCACAAATATGAAAAATTAAATTACAAATTATATATATAAAGGCAAAAGCGATTGATCTATGTTGTTTTTACCAGTCAAATTTTGAAAATATTGTAAAAATTAATATAAATTCATACTAAAAAATTATATAACAGCATACGTTTTTTATAAAATTTTACACATAAAAGAGTTATATTATTATACAAAATAAAAATAAGTTAACAAAATCTTTTCTTGTTACTTTTCATTAAAAAATAATAAAATAATGTGGCAAGTGGGGGGCCAAGTCCAGGCCCATACCCCCTTTATTTAGGATTTTGTGTAGCGATGGTAAACAAATCCATATTCGTAGATAATACTCGAACCTGTCTCTACTTTGATGAAAAATACCAGTTTGATCGAGTACGAGTACGAGTAAAATCCGAAATATTAAACCGGGGATGAGGACGAATATTCGTCCCCCATCCCCAATTTAATACTCGTCCCCGATTTGATTATTTTAAAGAATTTTAATATTTAATTATTGTGATTGTTTATTATGATGTGAAATATTTGTAATTATCTAATTATTAAGAAGTCTCTTGATTAAAATATAAAATAGACAAACAACTCAATTACAATTGTAATATAATGAAAAGATAAACTAAAATTTTTTATTTTTTTTTGCAAAAAAAATTAATTATTTTTTTACAGGTACAAGTATACCCGATACTTAACAGGAACAAAAATGGAACAAAAATTACATAACCAAAAAATACAATAATGGGAATGGATTTGAATTGTGAGAACGGTTATCATAAAATCCATACCCGACCCGTCCCATTACCATGTCTACTTGTGTGAGTTGAAAACTTTAAATCCCTCCATTAAATGAAACTAAAATAAATAGGACTTTTGTGAAAGGGGTGTGGACTAATTAAATTCATGACCATGAACCAAATTGACACTTCTAGACATAACGACATTAACAAGAAAGAAATACAGAGATAAATGAAAATTAAAAAAAAATGATTTTTTTTCTGAACAATGCTTTGTTGGTTTACCCAAATAAGCAATTAGGTCAACTAAATTTTGATGAATATTAACCAACTCTTAGCTCGATCAAAATGATCTAGCCATAAAATGATTTAGATATTTGAACACACATACCTCGAACACAGCATAAATAGCAGAAAAATAATAAATATTTTAAATTTTAAATAATTGTCAGGTACAAAAGTAAAACAGCACATGCTACGGTACAACTAAAGTTACATTGCTCATTCAAAAAAAGTTACATTGCTTAAACTTCAAGAGGCAGTCAAAATATAACATAACAAAATTCATATCAAGCAAATAGTAAATTATGATTGGAACCATTTCCTAAGCTGTTTAGAAGGTTTTTTCTCTCCATCTTTCTCTTGGGAACCCTTGTGTGAGAACTTAGATCTATATTGTTCTATAAGTATGTCAAGCTTATCTACTACGTCCTTCCCTACAGAATCTTTATTCTTCTTTGGCCGTTTCTTGGAAAACTTTTGGCCTGGTTCTTGTTCTTGGTTTTGCATCTTTCTTTTTCTAAAACTCCCATCATCTTTGTTTCCTGATTTTCTTCTATTAGTGTCAGTGGCAGTGAATTTACCTTCAAGAGATGCACCACCATTGTTCTGGCCATCTTGGTTATTCTTCGGCTTCATGGAAGAGGCTTCTGGATTCTCTTTTAGTGCCCTTTTACTCTTATTGTTGCCTTTATGTCTTTTGGATTTGTTTCCTTGAGGGGATCTTCCATTTGCCACTGTACCACCTGATTCACCATTCGTATTCAGCGCCGTGTCCTTTACCTGTTCACCTTGCTCTCTAGATTTCCTTTTTCCGTTGTTCAAACTCGTGCGAACTTCTACTGTGCCAGGCTTGTCATTTTCCATGGCATTGTTGTCATCCTGGGAACCCTGCTGATAAAATTGTTGCTTCGCCTTCCTAAGTTTAAGCGTTTGAACATTATCAAGAGCAAACTCCACGATAGGCCGATGTTCAGAACCAAAAGTTTCTGCAGCAAAATGAAAGATAATGTTAGATTAAACAGTAATGAGGCACACAACATAGTCCTACCCGCACAGAAGTAAGAAATGGTTGTCACCAGGATTATTGTTAAGAACTCTCAGAGCCACAAGGGCATGCTGATGCTCCGAAAATTCAACAAAGGCAACTCCTCGTGAATGGCGTTCTTGAGCAACCTTTCCTTTCTTTTCATCTTTCAAAAACTTTATCTGCAGAGCATATGTATAACGTTAAAACGTAAAATGCATTCCTAAAGCTTTAGAGAAACAATATTTGACAACTTCAAATCCTGATCAACTTAACCGACCTGCCGAATTACAGGCTTTTGCTTGGTGGCTCTAGAGATGACTGCATCAATGCAAAGCTTCTTGAGTCCTTTCTCATTCATTGACTTCGGTAAGTTGTAGATAACGAGTCTAGTTCTTGAAACATGAAAATTTGGAGATTGAAGCTTAATCTTCTTTTTCCTCTCCAACCTACAAAATTTCCATAAATAATGTTGAGCACCAACACCAGCTGAAGGAATTACACTCGAGCAAGGTGATCATATTTTTAGCACTTTTGAAAGATCAAACGCAACATAAAATAGGGCAATCAGAATAGTATTTTAGGAACATAATGATATTGGTGAATATATGCAATGGTAGAAATTATATCTTAGCTTTTCAAGAGACGACTTTCCTTGTCCCCTTGTTATTTTTCTTCACAAATAACTAAGCAAGTAAGCATGAAAAAGGAAAACAAGGAGAATACAAAACAAGTACATTTTCCTCCTAAAGTTTTATTGAGGGTAAATATGGCACGACCCAACACAGGATTATCATAATATCAAGAGAACAACTAAAAAGAAAATTATAATTTCCTCAACAACTTTACATGAACCCATTGGCTTTGTCCCTTAAATGCAATTTATAGTAGTCTATAACCATATGAAAGTTGTGGATTAAAATACAGTTACGCAAGTGCAGCCTATAAGAATTATAACCAACATGATAGATTTGAGTTAAAATAATAATGCGAGTAGCACTCCGTACTACAAAATACTCACCCTTGACGTTTCAGCATATCACTGGCTGAAACCCCTTCAGCAGCCGTAGTTCCCTCTAGAATAAGTCCCTCCTATTACAATTTAATGGTAGAACACAAATGTTAGTCATGTTGCATATCAGCTTCAACAGCCAGCACCACAAGAGTTCTTACAAAGGAGAAAACAAACCTTTGCCAAGTAAAGATTGCGGTGGTCATGAACCTCATTTTTTGCTTTCTCCACTTCCTTGTCATGTGCTGATTTCTTATCCAAAGCTTTTAAAATTTTTAATGGTCTACCCTTCAGTAAAATACCCATCCCAGAAGCGGAACTGGCTGTTGAAATTGCAGTATTAGCTGCTTCTACAGTTTTAAACTTTAGAAAACCAGTCCCTCTTGGTCGCCTGCATTGAGTGACAGGAGACTATGAATAATGCCCTGTGAAATACAGACACAGAAAATAACACTATAGGACGTACTTGGTAACTTGGTGGAGAACAGGAACAAAGTATTCTACTTCCCCAAATCCAGAAAATCTTTGTTTCACTTCTTCGTTATCACATTCAAATGGAAGATTACTTATGAAAACTGTTCTCTGCAAATCATCTTCAGTTTCCTTAGGATTTGATTCATAGTTTCTGCCAGAAACTTCAGGCTTAGAAAAACCTGAAACCTTTTCAGACTCATTAGATGCTTTTCCTTCTGCATCTTCACCAATTTCATCAGATCTTGGCTCATTGTTTTCTTTGGACAACACAGAATCATTGTTTACAGATGTTCCTTTGCTTGAGGATGTAATCAAGTTGTTAAGAACCTTTCTTGCAATGTCTGCTTCCATATCAAAATTATCTTCAGGAGAAGCAGCTTCTTCCTCCATGGCAATAAAGTAGTCTGTATCACTATCATCTCGTTGACCAGATCGTTTGTCAACAAGCTCGACATCTTCGTCAGCACTATCGTCATCACTCATCTTTTGTTGTCCTAAAGAAAATGTAAAGGATGCTTATTTAAATAGTTCATATTTAAAATGATGGTTTTTTGGCATATTAAAATAAATAGGACAAAGATAAAGAATGAGACTTATGTAAAGCCCCAATAGTGTATTTGAAGTCCAGCATGTATAGCATACTTCAAATGTTATAAATCAGTTATCATTTAAGAAAAAGATTAAACTTTTCTAAATGATTACATCAACTTTAGTAATATACCCAAGTAAAGGTCTGTTAGGTTCAAAGGATGGGAGGGGTTAGAAATTCTATCTGGTTCCCAGGAGGGGGGGGGGGGATTTTAATGGAAGGGAGAAAATAGCTTTTTTCTTGTTTTGGTCACAAGGGAAAGGGAGGGACTTCTAAAATTAATTTAACTTTGCACCCTTGTAATTTTAAATTAAAAAACAAAAGGATATTTTAGACATTACACTCAAGTTCCCCTCCAAATCCCACCAATATTGAAGGGGAGCTAAAATTAAATGAGGAGGGGTTTTGCTCCCCTCCACTCTCCTAGAAATTGAACCAAACAACAAAAGTTTAAAAAAAAAATCCCTCCTCTCCCCTCTCCTCCATTTCCCTCCAACCAAACACTGTAAAGTATTACAAGGGACATACACAATCTATCAGGAAAATCTTGAAGGCTACAAAAAAGGAGCAATGCTTTGAACTCAACATAGACATAGTTACCAAATCCAAATCTATTGGACTTAAATTTTGAAATTTAAGAAAATATCGCCTTCATATGTTCTCCAACAAATTCTATAACTACAGTTAAGTTTGTAACAACTCAGCAGTCTGGATCCAATTGAGTAGACAAATTATAATTTATTAAAATTTAGAACACCAAAAAGAAGAGCTAGCTTTCTATTACACAAATCTACCAACAGCTGACCAACACAATTGGAAAAATGAGGTTAAGCCCCAAATTTACCCTAACAGGTGAACAGTGATGGCGAGACTAGTCCCAATTTCTTTTTCAACAGTATATCACTTACAAGCACAATGTTTTAGCATACTCTACTGGATTAAAATATAGATATGTAACCTTTCTTGCAAAAAGTTTTGTAAATCATAACATTTATATCTCATTAAAATAGTACTATTATGAAATAATTGATAATAAAGGAGGGCATTAGAAATAATAAGTACATATTTCTGAATTTGAAATCAAAAAGCACTTCATTCCCTTCAACTGATTATGCAATCCACCTTGAGTATTAAGAAATGCAGGGCAAGCAACAATATCAAGCATAATGAATTTTTAAATTAAGATGAATAAGATCTAGACTGAAAATATCAAACCTACATAACTTTGCTCAAGTCAAATATAAGAGTGGCTGATGGCGGTACCATTTTCACTGAAGATAAAATTACCTTCTGAATCAAGAGCATTATTTGTATCACTGCTAAATATCTTTTTTGGAACAGCCCAATCAACAGCTATGAGCCGTTTTGCAAACTTTGATCCATTGAGCTTTTGAATGGCCTGAAACCGAAATGGGAAGCTTATATGCACAGTTTATTTCAGAACATACAGAGTAGGTAAAGTAAAACCTTGGTAACAGTTCATACATTTTCTGCATCTTGCTTGGAGGTGAACTTTACAAATGCAAAACCCTTAGACAGACTGCAAAAGGAAAAGAGGGAAAAAGAATAACATTTTAAGAAAGCATTATGTATATAATGCTATATTGAAACTCTTGCAATCAAATTAAAGAAAAAAGAACATACCCTGTGTCTGACTTGTGTGGAATAAATACATCCCACACATACCCAGCAGATGAAAAAATATCTCTTATTTCATTATCTTTGGCCTGCATCCACATTTAGTCAACTAATCAGAAGACAAGGCCTCCAAACAATATTTATTTTATGTTTTTTAACTCTGCATCAAACCTTGAAAGGAATGTTTCTGACAATAAGCTTCCATTTCTGAGTCTTGGAGCCCTGACCCGCATACAGCACAAACTTGTTAAGAAACTAATATCTCATTCATAATCATACACATTAATCAAGGAAGTTAATTTCACTTACAAATAATTAAAATCAATAGAAGAAAAGCACACAATAAAGCATATACACAATAAAGTTTATCTTCTACCACCTAATGGATTATTAAATGATTCTGACAAAGTACAGCCTACAGTCACTAAATGCATTCCAACCAGGCTGAAAACTGTCTTCCAAGTTTATATATAGCCTTTCAGCCCAAATGTTGGTCAGGGTGCATACATATTACACACAACTCCTACTTCAAAGAACAGACTGTCACATGTCAGAGTTGGATTCTTGGAAATGGGACAACAATGAAGAAAATACTTTTCTACACAAACATGGAAAACAGAGACTAAAACAAAACCCAAATGAAAAACCTATCCAGCTTCAAGAGGCATCATAAATCAAGAATTTTCTTTGTGAAACTTCCTTTATATTAAGACGATGCATGTCCTATTTCCATGATTAACTGCAGAAAGAAACTGACAGATACGAATGGCTTTTACATACCATGGAATACAAATTTTATGACATGAAGCAATAAAGTTAGATTTGATGAATACAAACGATAAAGCTTCTTCAAACTGCAAGCAGTTATTCATAATTTCATATACAAATGATGATTTTCTGGAGCATGAAGATATTATACTCTGGTTTGTTCTATGATGAGCAATTTACCTCTCCACCCAGTTGCCGTGCCCAAACACTTCCCCCTGCTATCTCTTTTTTATGTAACGCTGCAACAGAAGCTCGAGCTGATTTTACACTTGTATAAAGTACAGCCGAAGCATCCAAAGTACAGCCATCTTGCAGGAGACCTGAAAAAAATCCATAATGACCTCTCCTATTCCAATGAGTGTAAAGAATCTTTAAATAAATAATACAATGGGTTTAATCTTGTTGAACAACATTCTAGCTGGAAACATCTGTTTGACTATTCCAGTGGAAGAACAAACTTTAATGTCCTTAACAGTACTCAATAAGATTAAAATGGGATAAATTACAACTATGTTTGTTTTAAAAAAGGAAAGGGTTTAGCATTAAAACAACAGATCTACTTTAAAATCAGATTCACCACACTAACCACAAGATGACTTTACACCAAGAACAAAAAAGTGGTAAAATCTGACCCATTAAAGAACATGAACACAGCATATTATTATTATTTAGCAAAATAAAATAAATAGATCACTTTTATATTATCTCTTTTTGGATTTAACTGACATACCACACTATTGAATAAATAAAAAGCCTATTTCATCTGCATTATAATCATGGGATGAAAAGATCAAATCCACAATTACCATGTTGCTCAACATCTTTTCTTGAAAGAGGGTACTTAATAGAACACACAGTTCCAATCTCTCTGGCTTGGCGGTGAACTTCTTCAGCCATATCAGAGTTTATGAGACCACCAAATATAACAGTTCTAGCAACCCTGTCAAAAGAAAAAATACAATAAGGAACAGCATTTTAGGAACAAGACATACATTTGAACATTAGAAACATCCAGAAGTTGGAATCAGATCATCTCATTAGTCATTTCCACTTAATCACGGTCACATTAAAATCAGCTTCCAAGGACTATTTTTTGTTTCTCTGGTAACAAACTGATTTTAAAAAGTTAGATTAAATGCAATTGCAGAAAAGGAGTGCAAAGTAAAAACCTCTGCTTTTCTGAGCAACCACCCTCATCTTCTACATCATTACAAAGAGCTGATTTTTTCGTTTCCATGGGCTTCCCTGAGTTTTTTTGTTTATTTGTGACTTGTACTTCTAGACAAGAGAAAAAAAAATACATGAAAATATATATATATATATATATATATAAAAGAGCAGCTTATAAAAATATTTGTATAAACAAATTCTCAACCTTCTTCCTTCAAAACTGAAACATGCTTTTCTGCTCCAGATGATCTACCATCTTCATCATCATCTTTTAGCTTTGTGAGATCATCTGTCTTGCCCACTATTACATCACAAAAGAGGGAGAAGAGAAAACAAAGGAATAAGAATATTGACAAGGTTAAAACCAACTGCACATCTTTCAGACAGTGTGCAATAGTAAAATGTCACAGTATGCCAAACCAAAATTAGAGAGTAGCATCAACCTTGATTTGGTTTTGAATTTCTTTCTTCGCGGGGAGGACGAGGCATTGCATGCTTCACTACAATTTTCCGGCCTCCAACAGATGAACCATTCTTCAGCTCAATAGCACGGTTAGCATCTTCTTCAACGGCACTGAAGATGAAAACAATTAATACAAACACTAGAATAAGCCAAGTCACAGGTTCTAATTCTAATAAGACTAAATAGTCATTTTGTTCCGTGAATTTGGAAGGTGTTGTCATATTAGTTCCTAAAATTAAGAAAATTTTGAACAAATCCCTGAAAGTGCAATTGACTATCACATTGGTCAAAAATTCAAAAAAATATAAGTGTGACTAGAGTGATAATATTAATATATTTTCAAGGACCAAAATGACAATAAGTAACCAAGTTTAAGACATTTAAGAGTCTTATTTGATATTTTCTTGGTTTCAATGATTAACTTGACAGAACTCCCCAAATCTGGGACCAAAATGATTATTTACTCTTCTTAAAAACATGAAAAAAAAGAGCCATATCTTTACTTAAAAACAGAGTCGACCAACAAATTATAATTATGGAATAATTTAGTGATTATCACAACAACACGCAGTTATACAACAGTCACCATCAAAAGAAGACATTATGCAACCGGTATATCTAGAATAAAGCCTGAAAAAGTTTGTCCATTGATATCCTAAGTGATTTTGTAAACCACAGTGCTTCAAATTTCATTAGCAACCTTGTGGCAAGATCATAGAATACCTGAAGAGTATATCACAATCCATATGATGTTTGATGATATTTAAACATCCATAGAACCAGAGTGCATTTTCCAAAAAGGGGAAACTTTCTAGGTTACTGAGTATTCATACTTAATGGTAGCTTCACAGTATCTAATAAGACCATAGCCAAAGCATAAGCAAGAAACCAGATCAAAAGAACTGGTGACAACACAATAACATAAGCTAAAGCTAGAAATTCAATATCTGGTCAACATGAAAGCAAGAAAATAGTAACATAGTATGCTAACAACAGGTAAGACAGCCAAACAACCAAAGACAATGACAAACTAAACTTTTGGAAGGAAAAAAAATAAACTCACTATTGGACATATCCGAAACCACGATGCTGGGCCGACCCTGTGGATCAATAAGCAGAGACAAAGATGTTAAAAATATAAAGAGCAAATAGATACTTCACTTATGTCCTCAGTCTCAGCATATTTTATACATGTCATCTAATTAATATACATCAGTTACTAGCTACAATTGCATTTATCACTTCCACAGCCACAACACTAAAAAAGCTTATAGTGACATACGACCCAAAGAACACCCAAGTGAACCCAACATAAAGTTGAATTGAACCATGGTAGCACAGCTGCACCAGCCAGTATCACAAGTTGGCACTCTGTTACATATAATATAAGAACAACAATACTACTCAACTCGGATTACATGGTTTGCTGTTGGGCAATAAAACTTGATGAAACAGAGTTATCTCATTCTCACTTATAACTAACTATGTCCATCAAAACAAAGCAATCACTCACATGAATTAGAAAGGGTAGACAGCAGAAACAAACCCTTTTATCCTTCCAATAAAATTTCAACTTTTATCAAAATAGTCCACAAACTAGCAGCATACAAAATGATTTTATCATTTTACAGCCAAAAATGGGAGATTGTGCACAAATAAACTCATCACAAATTTATATATATAAATAAAGTGTACTTTTTCCTTGACCCTTACCTTTCTGTGTGACCATGAAGCAACGCCTGACAGGTCCAACCTCACTGAACGTCTCCTCCAGCTGATTTTTTTTTTTTTTTCAACAAGATCATTAGAAAAGAAAAAATCAAATAACACTTTTAAAACCAATTAACAAAGAATCTAGCAAAACAATAAAAAGAAAATAATAATAATAATAATAAATGGGATAAATAAAAAAGAAGTAAACGGAATAATGAATACCTGAGAATTGGTAAAGGTATAGGGCAAATTGGAGACAAAAAGTGTTGAGGCGCAATGCTCTTTGCCTCCATTTTCCTTCAGTTTGTTCTTCTTTCCCATCTCTCTTCGCACCTTCCTCTTCTTTCCTCAACCGAAAACTGTTCTATCTGTGATGGAGGAATTTTGATTCATTGTTAGACACTGCTTATTCATTCATTCAAAAACCAAAAAGAAAAGGGAAAATATGAAAATATACGTAGCGGCCACCTGAGGCAGAGAAGGAATGCAATGCAGAGTTGAGTTCCGCTTCTTTGTTCTAACGACGTTTTAGGGTGCAGAGAAAAATTAAAATCCAGGGTTTTACGGAAACCCCTAATTCTCTCTAAAAAGAAAATTATTCAATTTAAAAAAATATATATAGAAATAATTATTTGAGAATAAAATATATTTTTTTAAGTTTTGGAATTTTTTTTAATTTTTATTTTTACTAGTATTTTAGCATGTGTAATCCATATGCATGTTTATTATATAATTAAAATTTATAATTAAGTATGTATATAAATAAATATTAGATTAGAATTTATAAATTATATTTAAAATTAGTATTCATAAATATCTTTTAACATATAAATTATATTTTAAGTTTATGATAAATAATTTTATTGTAACAAATTTTATATTTATTTTTAATAATTTATTTTAAAATATTATTATTTAATTATAAATAATTATAATAAATAAAAATTAAATTAGGTAAGTAATAAAAAAATTATAAATTTTCTCATCGAAAAAAGTTCATAAAAATACTTTCATGCAAAATAGAGATTCATATGTAATATATAAGGTTGATCTATGAATAAATTTTTTATTTGTTTTAGTTTTAGAACATTTATCAATTTTCAGTTTTCGGTACTTTTCCCTAAATGTAAAAATTAATAAAAGTTCATATATTAAAATTATATTTAATCATAGTTTTTACAATAAAAATTTAAATAAAAATAAATTTACATCCTCGAATTAGTTCATAAAGTTATAACACTAGTATTTTAGTATGTGCATCCCACTCAAAGTGTGTTTGAATGAGAGATTTTAATGTAACAATTCAATTATTTAAAGAAGGTTTCTACATTGTTATGTTTTTCCCTAGTAGGAAGGCAGGCTCAAGGTATTCCTCCATAAGGACTTTGTTGTTGCTACGGGTGGCTAAAGCTTTGGGTGCCATTTGTAAGTAAAAGGTTTGTGTTTGGAAGAAGAAAAGAAGTTTCTATTTAAGAGAGAATGAGTGTGAAAGCAAGAATGGTTCTAAGAGTGAAACAATTAAGTTTTCGTTAGAGAGTTGGTTTCGGTCTTTGGTCGAGGTTACTAGGGTGAAAAGACTGGAGAGAGATAAATAATCATGGCGTGACTCGCCTATGTCTATCTCACTTCTCTACGTGTTCTTTTTCAAAAATTGAAGACACAATATTTGCTGAGCATTTATGAGCATTAAATGAAAATATCATACCTTTTCAAAGAGAGATGATACATTAGTGTTTGTAAAAATATTGTGCAACAGATTGATGAGATGTACACATAGGCATAAGATGAAGTATGACAAATAAGGCAAATAGATGAATAAGATGATGCAATATTAATTTGAAATAATTTTTAAATTTAAATGCTCTCTAATAAATCTAAAGTTTTCCTATTCTAAAGCTTAGGTAAAGATATTAGCCTATTAGTGATTAGTATCAGTAAATTTTATATCAAAAATACCTTTTTGGACATAATCATGAAAGAAGTGATATATTATCTCTATATATTTTGCATTGGAATGTTGTGTGGGATTTTTGGAAAGGTTTATGGCACTAGTGTTATCACAGAAAATAGGTATTTGATTTTCAAAACTTGAATAAACTTCTAGTTGATACTTCACCTATAGTAACTATGAGCAACACCCAGTCGATACAATGTATCTTACCTCTATAGTAGAGAAAGTTATAGAATTATGTTTCTTGCTTGCCTAGGATATGAGACAAGATCCCAAAAAATGACATTCTCCACTTGTGTTTTTTCTCTCAATCTTATCTCTAGCATAGTCTACATCACAAAATTCTACTAACCTAAAATTGTTGTTTTTCTCATAAAATAGACTAAGGTTAGTAGAACTTGCAAGATATTTGAATATACGTTTTACAACTTTAGGATGAGACTATCTGGCATCAGATTGAAAGCGAGCACAAAGACATACACTAAACATGATGTTAGGTCTACTAACAATTAGGTAGAGAAGAGATCCAATTATACATCTGTAGATCGTCTAATCTATTTGTTTATTTGATTCATCTTTTGATAGACTTACAAACAAATGCATAGAAGTGGGTATTGGTTTGCAATCATTCATTTTAAACTTCGAGAGAAGTTCCTTTGTATATTTTTGTTGATGAATGAAGATACCTTCATCTGTTTGTTTACTCTGAAGTCCTATAGAGAACTTAAGTTCACCCATCATGTTCATTTTGAATTCATTCTACATTAGCTTGGAAAAATCCTTACATAGAGATTCATTAGTAGTCCCAAGAATAATATCATCAACAAAAATTTGCACTACAATGAAATTTGTTTCAAACTCTTTTATAAAGAGAGTTGTGTCAATTTTACCTACCATAAAACCATTGTTCAAAAGAAATTTATCGAGTCTTTCATACCAAGCTCTAAAAACTTGTTTGAGACCATAAAGAGGCCTTTTTTTTTCAATTTGAAAACATTTTCTTTATAATCTGGATTTTCAAAACCAAGAGGTTGTTTAACATAAACATTTTCTTCAATTATTCCATTAAGTAAAACGCTATTTACATCCATTTGAAATAATTTAATATTTGTGAACTACAAAAGCTAACATATTTATGATAGCTTCAAATCTCAAAATAAGTGCAAAGATTTCAGTGAAATCTATACCTTCCTACTCATTGTAGCCTTATGCTAACAATCTAACTTTATTTCTAACTACTTTTCCTTACTCATCTAACTTGTTTCTAAAGACCTGTCTTGTTCCAATGATGCTTTGATGACCTAGCTTTAGAATTAGAGTCTAAACATCATTTCTTTCAAACCGATGGAGTTTTTTTTTCATAGCTAGAATCTAATTGTTGTTGCGAAGAGCTTCATCTATGTTTTTTGGTTCAATGTCTAACACCAAAGCATTGGAAGCATTGTCTCTGAGAGCAAACCTTATTTTGACACCTTTAGTCCTATCTCCAAGAATCTGATCTTGAGGATGATAGTTGACAAACTTCCAATCTTTGTGAGATCTAGTAGGTTCATTTGATTGATTCGTCTACCCTTCGGGTAGGGTTATCGTCTAACTGCTTGCATCTAGTTCCTTCATCTTCTCTAAATCAATCTACAAATTTACAAATTCTTCTTCTAGATCTGATAGTTTCCTATCAGTTGTTAAGCATCATTTAAACTCCATATGAATAGATTATTCTACCATAGAGGTTTTAAAGTTAAAAACTCTATATGCCTTTGAGGTATCTAAGTATTCAAGGAAGATGTCTTTATCTACTTCAGAGTCAAACTTTTTAAATTGATCCTTAGTGTTTAAAACATAACACTCACATCCAAAGAGATGAAAGTATGATATGCTGGGTCTTCTTCCCCTCCACAATTTATAAAGAGTCTTGTTTAACAAGGGGCTTATTAATATCTTTTTTTTGAATATAACAAGTTGTGTTTTACCTTTACCCATAAGTGTTTTGGCAAAGAATTTTTGTAAAGAAGAATTCTAGTCATTTCTTGTAAAGTTTGATTTTTTTTTAACTACACCATTTTGTTGTAATGCTCTCAAGGGATAGAAGTTGTGAAAGGTATTATTCTTTTCCCAAAATGTTTCACTATGATGATAATTATAGTGTCATTCAGATTGCTAAGAATTCAGTCTTCTATGAATGTACGAAGCATATTGAGGTAGATTGTCATATTATTAGGGAAGCATTGGACAATCAAGTAATATCTCTTCCACATGTCACATCATAACTTCAACTTGTAGATATCTCAAGCAACGTTGTACCACGACCTCGCCATCAGTATCACATCAACATATTGATGTTTCTTAACAAGCCACATCAATTTGAGAGAATGTCAATAGAGGATTATGTCAATCTTTCATTAATCCAATTTTTATTTTATGATGTATACAATTTGTGCATTCAATATATATAATTAGATTGCCTAATTATAGGAATTAGATTAATTATGTCATTAGTGTCCTTTGTGACCATAAGTATTTATGTAATATCTAAACACAAGATTATGTTTAATAAGGTAGCAAAGAAGGCTAGTAGGAGTACGACCATTTTTCTAATTTTGCATGTGGATGACATACTACATATTAGAAACAACAATCCAACACTTCAACATATGGAAGCATGGTTAGAAAACTGTTAGGTCGTGGTTTTAAAAGTGCTTTCCAACAACACATAATCATAATATGAACCCACAAAATTGGGCGATATTTGAAAATAATGTAAGGATTATTAACCAACATTAAAATCTCATATCTTAACACTTCAATTGTTGTCACCACCATGACCATCATTGCCACCACATTGTCACTACCACCACTAATGGTGGTGGCAATGATGACAATGGTGGTGGTGGTGACAATAATGGTGACAGTGATGATGATGGTGGTGGTGGTGGCGATGATAATTGTAATGATAATGATGAAATATATAATGACAGAGACAATTATGATAGTTGCGGTACATATAACTTTATTTGTAATCTTTTAATCTAAGCTATTTATTTTAATTTAAGAATTGAGATTAAGTATTATTATTCTTGCATAAAAATTACATTCTCGTAGTATATATATAATTCCTCTCTCTTTGTGTGCATGTGTGTGTGTGTGCGTGTATGCGCGTGCATGCGTGTGTGCGTACTTGCGTGCATGTGTGCGTGTGTGTGAGGAGGGTTTAAATGACATCAATGTAACTTTTATCAACTATTATACAGATCAGTAACTTTTAATTAAATATAAATTTTTTAAAACTTACTGCTAGATTTAAAGTTCCTTACTCTTAGATTATATATACAAAATTTTATATTAATATAAGATGATTTAATACCTCATTCTTATTGAACAAAATTGATGTTATATATTCATTTTAAAATATGCTAAAATATAAACATTTTTATTACATTCAAATTGTTGTTCAATTATAACAAAATTTGATATAAACATAAAAGGTAATATGAAATTACAATTCAACAAATGAATTGACAAAATTCACATTTAATATAAAAATATTAAATAGTGTAATAATTGATAAAAGTTATACTTATATTATTTAAAATTATATATATATATATATATA